GATTAATACATTTTAAACTAATTAAACATTTTGATCAAGTAATAATTACATCATAATCTAAACTATTAACTAAGACTCCAATCCCGCTAAAGTAAAAAATCATTTGAGCCAACAATGATGTGGTGTCTGTAGAATTTTCTGAGATCTGCAGCACCATCAGCGAGAGTGTAAGCTTTTCAACATTTGTTACGGAAAAGAGAGAAAACAATGAAAATGCGAACGCATTCAGGCAAAGTGTACCGTCGAGACTCAAAAACTAGTCTCTCCGGCGAGGTAACAAGGGAAAAATGGTGGGAAAGTCCCCAGGGAGGAGATCAAAGCCCTCTCCTATTCGAGCTAGATCCGGACCGGTGACCCGAAGAAATAGTCCTTCAGTACCAGGAAGGAGGGAGTCGAGGGACGGCGGGGAAAGCTCCCATCGGAGGTCTCTGTCACCGGTGACCCGTACATACACTGGGCCAGATAAAATAGGATTGACCCAGAACCAATTGGTACGTAGGACCGGAAAGTCTCCAGGTCAGGTCAGGTCAGGTCGGGTCCGTGTTGAGTGAGAGAACCCGGAGGATGGATGAAAGCTCCACTCTCTCGATCTTTCCCCCCCGACCAGACTTCCAATCTTCACTCCAAACCAAACCCATTCACTAATTCATCTGTTTACCTCTTCCAGCTGCCACCGGCAGCCCTCAAATTACCTTGGCCCGACGTTGAAGATTTATTTCTGCGCAAGCTCCATTGATCCGGCCAACAGCCGCATCATTTTTTTTTTTACCTCCAGTCGCCACTGCTCCACTTCTTTGAGTTCATTTGTTGATCTTTTTTGTATTTTTTGTGCTCGGCAGAAAATTCATTTTTGAATTAATAATTCAGTAATCAAGCTTAGTTATACTTGTGCTACGAAAGTTGATTTATTGAAGTATAAAGATGGATTCTAGAAGAACTTAAATCTTGTAGGTATATTCTGAATCAATTGGTTGATTGGATATGAAATTGAATAATTAGCCACATGTATTCAAGTGTAAAATTGAAATCTTCTTCCACGCCGCTTTAAGGCTTCAGAGTTCATTTTTCACAAAACTTTTGGGTAGCACTCTTCATGAGGTTTTAGAAAAACAGGTTCTTTAGTTTTTTTGGGCACGTGTTTTGGACGATTTAAACCACCTAAAATCGTTGTAGCTCGGTGTCCAACCAACATATTTTCTGAACGTGTCACTTTTTTAGAGTTTCTCATTTTTTTTCTATCACCTTTTATTATTGTTCGTTACTTTTTTCAAAAAAAAAAATTCTATCGTTTTTTTAGTGATAAAAAACGTTTCACTTTTTTATTGTCTTGTCACTTTTTTCTATTACCTTTTTTTATTGTTCGTTACTTTTTTTAAATAGTGACAAAAAAAAATGACACTTATTTTTTTTAATTTTGTCACTATTTTTTTTTTGAATTTTGTCACCTTTTGAGTGTTTCGCCTTTTTATTGACAAAAAAGGGGTGACAAACTTATTTTTTTTTAGTTTGTAACCTTTTTTTGAATTTTGTTATTTTTTGAGTGTTTGTCACTTTTTTATTGTTTGTCATTTTTTTAATTTGTATAATTTCTTTTAATTTGTGCCACTTTTTTTTAAAATTTTGTCACCTTTTTAGTGTTCATCACTTTTTCCAATCTATTTATATCACTTTTTTTTAGTGATGAATATCAATTTTTAATAAAAGTAACATTGTATGTCAGTTTTTAATAAAAAAAGTGATACTTAACTTTAAAAAGTGACAATGTGTCACTTTTTTTTTTACTGTGTTGACAATTGATTTTACAAAGTATATTTTACTTCCAAAATATGTTTCATATGATTTTTCAAAAAATCCTTAATTTTAAGGGTATTTTTGTAAGTTGCCCTTTATTTTTTTTGGAGGCCCTTCAGATCTTGAGGTCAAAGGCATTGGCCTAGTTTGCCTTGGGCTAGGTCAGGGCCTAACTTCAAGCCATAAAATCATTCTTCTATATACATGAACTCTAGTACATTAAAAACATATTCTTTAATATCCTGAACCTATGTGAGTAATTGGATTGAAATGCTTGAGAACTTGAGGACGAAATCAGATTTCTTTTATTCTTAAGGACCACTGTCAAAATTTGGAAAACAAGATTTAACTGAAGGAATGATGAATTTAAGGTTTGTTGGTGGTAATAAGACACATTTGAGGACCGAAAAGCAAATTGGATTCAGTTGTAATATGCGAAAAGTTCAAGGACTGAACTTCAATTTAGGAAAGTTACATGTTTATGAATTTCAGACTCGAGGTATTAGTTTTAGTATGGTTATAATTTATGATTTGAGGTTTAGAGGTATTAATGCAAGTTAGAGAATTAATTTGCAATCTTACAAACGTAAGGGCCCAAAGTGTAATTTCAGGAACATGTTATGAATTGAGGTTTTTCAAGCTAAATATTTTTTATATAGTTCAAGTTATGTGTAGAACATATTGGGTACACTTTGGAAATTTTCAGTAACTGTCTGGAACTTTAAACCTTGTCTAGGACAATTCGAGAAGATGAAGTTTCTCGACATAATGACATGAAATATGCAGGGGTTAATTGTCATGATTTTGATATCACGAGAAGGTCAAATAATAATTTAACCACTTTTGAAGCAGCCTCGTAAGATATTTTTCTATGTTGTAAGTAAATAGTATTTATGAATGACTATACCCCTCAATCCTGATTCTTTTCAATAAATATGGAATTTTAGTTCTTAATAAAATACACACAAGTTTATTGACTTTTTCATTATCTTCTCATTTTTTCTCTAATTTATAATACGTTATCAGCATGAAATTCTACCCAATTGAGTTAAACAATATTTATTTATCTTTCTACTAACGAATCTCTAGTCAGATATTATAGAAAATTTATTTTGTTTCGATTTAAGGAAAACAAAAAATTCTGCTCAATTGAGTTTACAAAAAACTCTTATTTTCTGCTCAAAATAAAAGGTCAGCATTGTCTTAACTTTAAATTGCATGATAAACTGGTATAGTTATTCGATTCGATTATATCGATTTGACTGCCAATGTATTGTAAATAAATATTTACTTGAATGTAATATTTTGGGTACAATATTTCAATGTAATATTCCAGAAAAATATTGTATTAATATTGTTGAAAAGAAATAATCCAAATCAATATTTCAGAACAATATTGTAGTATTGTTTGAAAATGAGTATTATATTTGTATTATTTTGTTTCTCCTAAAGAAGCAAAAATTCACACATACAATATTTAAAATAATATTATGTTTTTACTCGTGAAAAAGTATAATATTTTTCATATTACATTTTTGACGAATTTCATGTCGATGTTCACGGGGATTTAAACAATATTCTAGAGAAGTATTATATTAATACTCCTGAAGAAGTATAAATCCTATACATTTTAAAGTTCTAAAGAATATTTTATTATTGATTCGTATATAAAAATTATGAGGCTATACAAATCAATATTTTAGAAGAATATTGGGAATATTGGATTGATGCTCATAAAAAGATATGACTGTATATATTATGTAAGAATTGTATAATTATTTTCGAAATTAATAGTGTAGAAGTTCGTAAAATCTAGATAGCCTACACAATTGTGATCAAAATATTATTTTTTATCGTTCCATGATCCGATTGAAATGAAATTTGGGTATGATGTTCACAACTCATTGTTTTTTAAATTGAACGGTTATAATTAAAACCCACCTATCCAATCGTAAGAAATCTGTACATGAACAGTTGTCAAATTCTTGTAAAAATTATTATTATTGATTGGTGGTCCTAATGTCCAAACATATGTTTTGGAATGTCATGTACGTAACCCATCAATTCTTATCCACAAGTTCATATATTCTTTTGAGTTTGTTGCATATTGTCTCAATTAAACAAATTGAATGATAACATTAATAATTATTCTAGTGCACGCATTCACCAATATATTTCAATTGATAAACTATCACATTTTCTTTAATTGATTGTTATGTACAATTTATAATCATCACATTGTACATAATCAATTTTTGTATTTGATTTGCATATTATAATTGTTCACAACGAAAATATTTTATTTGCACATTTTTATTAATATATTTAATTTGTTGTTGCTCCTAAAGAAGCACAATGCTATACTATTCTAAATGAATATTATTTATTTTTGAAGAGCATGACATTGCAATTTCAACATTTAGAATATTGACTTATTGTTCCACAAGAAGCATACTTTTATATAAAATTAATATATTAGAAGAATAATTAGTTGTTTTTTTAGAACCAAACACGATTCAAATATTTAAATATTCTAAAAGAATATTGGTTTACTCAAAAAGAAGCACAATTACAAAATTATTAATATTTTCTTATTTTTGAAGGACCTAGATCTAGTATAATTCATGATTTGAGAAGTTTCTAGATCTGTGAATCTTTTTAGTTTAATGAAAAACTTATACTGCATCAATATATTATATAGTTACTGCAGAAGAAGTTCAATAACTGTAATATTTAATTCTTTTATATTTCTAATAGATCATCACTAGATCAGTAATGATGCAAAATAAGAATTAAAATGAATATTTATTGAAAAACAAAAAGAGTCTTCAATGTATTCACATATGATATTTGTTCTTTGGATCATAAATTGGTCATTGACCATGGCTAGCTAATGTTGGGATTAAACCCTCATAGTCTTGAAAATTAATTTGGGTGATATATGGGGGTCCGTCACCCTCCATGTCGATATCTAAATATTATTTGTATCTAGATAATTGCATAGTGTTCACAATTTGAAATTTGAGAAATTACTACTCAAATTTTATATTATGAACATAATTTTCAGATAATACAATTAACATGTTTTTTGTTTATACTAGTGAGCCTAAATATCAACATTTTAATAAGTGTCAGCTGGGATAACGATAAATAGCTTAACATGTTGTTTGTTAAATGCCTTTAATTAATTTCTAAACTATTACTATTGAGAACAAATGTTTTCCAATTCTGTCTAGTGAATATTATTAGCATCATGTCAACATCAAAGTTTATCATGTGTATTTGGCTAATGATTATTTGGCAGTCCAATATATGTACAATTGATCCACTACAATGCACTAACATGATAAATTAAAAAATATTGAAAATAAATGAGTAGTTTAAACTTTTACTCCAAACATGTGATATTTTATAACGTAATTTGTTGATTGTCGATTTGATCAGAAATTCTCTCAAAATTAGGAGGAGTAGTTAAGAAGTTGAAAATAATATATAAATATTCTAAAATTCGATTTTACGGCACAAACCAACCAAAATCGACGTCCAAGCCTTGGCAAGTCCCTTGTGCTTAATTATATCACCTTTCTCTTTTGTTTCTAAGGAATAACTCCTAAGTGCTAGGAAGATACCTTTCTTCACAAAGTGGTCCATCTTTAACTTACCCAATTCAATGGAAGATACATCATTCTATTAGCTAGATCCTCGCAAAAAATAATTCGAACTAAAAGTTTGAAAGATAATTCATTTAGATATATTTACTAATTAAAGTGATTAACAATATCTTACACACCAACTCTAAAATACTCAAGCTCGAATTGACGTTCTGGGAGTACAGTTTGTTAACATTATAATTGATATATCTATGACATGCTTGAAGATTGAATATATTCAATTTTAAAACAAAAATTTCAAAAAAATAAAAAAATAGAGGAAATAAGAAAGATG